CAGCTGGAATTTTTTACTTAAGTGTATGGGTGTTTTGCATTGTGATATTTAACTAAGACATTAATGTGAATAGAAGGTTGTTGATTTAAGACAAGGTTCCTGTTTGTTTGTTTGTTCATTGGTTTTGAGACAGGGTCTCACTATGTAGTTTATTTGTTTATTTATTTATTTTTTTTATCTTTTTGAGACAAGGTCTCGCTATGCAGTTCAGGCTGGCCTTGAGCTCACTTTGTAGCCCAGGCTGGTCTCGAACTCACAACGATCCTCTTGCCTCAGCCTCCCTAGTGCTGGGATTATAGGAGTGCGCCACCACATCCGGCCCTCACTATATAGTTTAGATTGGCCTTGGACTCACTATGCAGCCCAAGCTGGCCTCAAAGTCTTGGTAATCTTCCTGTCTCAGCCTCCTGAATGCTGAGATTATAGGCACGCTGATCCCCTCTGTTAGTAGCCCTTGCACTTGCCTACGTAATTTTACGTAGTAAAATTTTCTTTCTTTCTTTCTTTCTTTTTTTTCCATTCCACTCAGATTATTTATTCCATTAATATTAATTTTTGTTACAAATCTGGCTGATGGAGGAGCTCCTGCATATTTAGGCCCACATACTACTTTCAAGCTATACATTCTATTTTCATAATTTTTCTGTGCAGACCGCCTGCTATCATCTTCTGCCACCCAATGCAGCCACTCATATGTCTGGAACTTCATACTTTACTTCCCACATTGTGCCCCTGGGTGCCAGAAATATTAAAATTTTACGTAGTAAAATTTTCTTTCTTTCTTTTTTTTTTTATTTTGTCTTTTTGAGGCAGGGTCTTGCTATGCAGTTCAGGCTGCCTTGAGCTCACTTTGTAGCCCAGGCTGGTCTTGAACTCACAACGATCCTCCTGTCTCAGCCTCCCAAGTGCTGGGATCACAGGTGAGCACCACCACATCCGACCTGTAGTAAAATTTTCAAGTTTTTTCCTTTATGGTTCCTGGATTTTCTGTTTTGATATACAATATTCCTTCAACTCTGAGGTTACAAAAATTATCTCCTATTTATTCTAACATCTTTAGTAGTTTACACAGAAATCTTTAAGACACCATTACAGAGAGCTGGCATTTTTATAGAATTACATATTTTTGAGATACATGGTCCATCAAACCACTCAAGTCTGGTTTTGAGTTGTTCAATAAAATTATATCCACCTCATAGATCATGTATACGTCTTATTCAGTGGCTTCCTTGGCACATTTGGGAATGAAAATGTCTCAAATTTCCATTTGTAGGTTTTTTTTTTTTCTGGTACCAGGAATTGAACTCACGACCTTGCACTTGCCAGGCAAGCACTGTGCCACTGAGCTAAATCCCCAGCCCCTTCCATTTGTAGTTTTTGTTCATTTGTTTCTAAGCAGTTGAACTTCACAGTCAGTTAGCTCAGGCTGCCATAGAAAGTGACACAGACTGGGAGGTTTAAACAAATTTATTTCCCAAAGTTATGGATGCTGAAAGTACGAGGTGAAGGTGTAGCAAAAAATGCCTCCCACCCCAGCCAGAATACTTCAGTTTCTGTTAGTTGCCCAGGTAACAGTTCCTGTTACAGTTCCTATTACCTGTTTCCTAGAAATGGCTGGTCACTGTGATACATAGCTGGTCACTCTGATGCATACTGTAAGGACCAATCAGAGACAGCCAAGTATTCTGCTTCTATGTATGTCCCACTTGCACACTCCTTATAAGCCCTAGACCATCAGAGATCAGGGCTTGACATTTTTTTCTTCAGGTCAGTACCCATCGACATTAAACAAATCTGCCTCCCAATCCTAGGTGGCGTTTTTGGTATTTCTATTTGCCATTGCAAAGGTGCCGGCAGATTCAGCTCCTCATGGGGGGTCTTCTTGAATTTGCAGATGGTGGCCTTCTGACGGCCTCCTGTGCTGGGGGGAGAGTGTGCTCTGTTGTTTTGGGAGCTCCAGCCCTGCTACAGAAAGCCCCACCCTAAGCCCCTCCTCTAACACTCACTGCCTTCCAGTCCAAATAGCATCCCAGTGTGTGGTTAGGGATCCAACATGCTGATTTGGGCTGGACACAAACATTTGGTGGGAAACACAGCTTTAAAGTAGCTGTTATACAAGATTCTCTATTTCTAATAGTTTTGTTAGGTCCACAGAGACCAGCAGCAAAACCAACAAGATAACAAGCTGTGAGAAAATTTAAAGTGAAAGTTTTATTGCCTCCAGAGACTGGAACTCTGGTTCATGAATCCAAGAGTCTGCCCTGAGTCATGGGTGTTTGAGGTTATATACGGGGCTCTGGGCTTAGCAGACATGGGTGAGGGTGATGGGGCAGAAAAGGACACAGCAGGGTCACCTGATAGGTTGTGCTAAATTCCATTTTCCTAAGTTAAGTTTTCATTTTTCTGAAATGGCCTCACTTAGTCAAGGTTGAGTTAAATTCTACTTTCCTAAATTAGGGTTTTATCTCTCAGAAATGATGTGATCCCTCTGCCTGGAAGCAGGGTGTTGCATTCTCTCCTCACAGTTTTCTGGTTAAATTTCTTGGGATAGCCAGGCGTGGTGGCACACACCTATAATCCCAGCACTTGGGAGGCTGAGGCAGGAGGATCATTTTGAGTTTGAGACAAGCCTAGGCTACAAAGTGAGCTCAAGGCCAAGCTGAACTGCATAGCGAGACCCTGTCTCAAAAAAAATTTCTTTTCTTGGGATTTCAGATTACACAGTTCTGTCATCTGAATATAAAGATAATGTTACCTCTCTCCTCCAGTATTTTAGTGTCCTGTGTTATTTCCTTAACTAGGAAATGGAAAATAACTTGGAGGAAAAGTGGTAATAGGTCATCCATAGCTCCTTCCAAAACTAACGCTACTTGGTGGTGCACGCCTGTAGTCCCAGCACTTAGGAGGCTGAGGCAAGAGGATCACTGGAGTTCAAGGCCAGCCTGGGCTACGTAGTGAATTCAAGGCCAGCCTAATCTGCATAGCAAAACTCTGCCTCAAAATGACAAAAGAAAACACACAATATATTTTGATAAGCCAACTAGTTCCAGAAGACCTGGTTAGCAAACAACACCCAACCCCCAGGGCTCACTGGGCCTCCCCTTTCTAATTCTTTGAACTGATTTTTGGGGGGTTTTTTTGTTTTTGTTTTTTGGGTTTGTTTGGTTTTTTTGTCTTTTTCAGACAGGGTTTCACTAGGCAGTTCAGGCTGGCCTTGAGCCACTTTGTAGCCCAGGCTGGTCTGGAACTCACAATGATCCTCCTGCTTCAGCCTCCCGAGTGCTGGGATTACAGGCATGTGCCATCACACCTGGCCGATTATTTGGTATTTAATTCTTTTTTTTTTTTTTTTTTTTTGGTACCGGGAATTGAACTCAGGACCTTGCACTTGCCAGGCAGGCGCTTATGCCACTGAGCTATATCTTCGGCCCCTTGGTAATTAATTCTACAACATTATTCACCTTACTTCTCTTCCTTTTAGAATGTTTTGTTTTGCTTTGCATTGCTGGGGATTAAACCCAGGCCCTGGAGTTCTCATATGATAGTCAAGTGCTCTACCACTAAGCCATATCTCAGGCCTGGAAAGCTTTTTTCTTTTTTTCTTTTTTTTGGTCTTTTTGAGACAGAGTCTCGCTATGCAGTTCAAGCTGGTCTTGAGTTTACTTTGTAGCCCAGGCTGGCCTTCAGTTTACATCCTCCTGTCTCAGCCTCCTGAGTGCTGGGATTACAAGTGTGCACCACTGCGCCCAGCTTGCCTCTCCACTCCTAACAGAGCCATGTTATAACTGTTCAGACATACAGCTGCCGGATATGGTGACACACACGTGAAATCCCAGCACTCAGAAGCTGAGGCAGGAGAATGGCCACAAGTTGAAGACCAGCCTGGGCTACATAGTGAGTTCAAGGCCAGCCTGCACTACATAGCAAGACCCTGTCTCAAGAAATAAAAAACAAAACAATATAGTATACAGCCAACTCAAGAAATAATCAACTGTTACTCTTTTTTGTTGTGTTTTGTTTTTATCGGTGCTTGGGGTCAAATCTGGGGTCTTGTATACGCTGGACAAGAGCCATACCCCGAAACCACACCCAAGCTATAATGGCCACTGTCTGTTTCTTTCACACCATCTCATTTTCCCTGGAGCTCACAACCGTCTTACTCTGTCATCATTGCACTCTTTGGTGTATACTTGGCACAGTTCAGTCCCAAGTGCTCTGCTGACTGAGGATATCAGTGCATTCAGACACACTAGGTAGTCTCTCCGTTTACCTTCCTGGGCTTTTCTGACCTGCAGCCCACCAGCCTGGCTGCCCCCAGCTCCTGGGGACTCTGTTGGGTAGGACCGCTGGTCGTGCCTCTAAGTCTTCCTTGCCCATGGTTACAGCCATTCAGTGTGCTGGCATGGTTCACATGGCTGTCTCTTCCCACGCTCAGAGTGATGACCCCGAGGAGACCAGCAAACTCTGAGAAACAGGGCTTCCCCCACTGAGACATGGCTGCTAAAAGCTATAGACTATCACTGATTTTTTTTTTTTTTCCGGTACCGGAAATCTCACTCATGACCTCTCACCTGCCAGGCAGGCGCTGTGCTGCGAGCTAAACCTCCAGCCCCGACTATCACTGATTTAATCCCTCTCTTTGTTGGTCTTCAACAGTAGCTTCCTGATCCAGTAGAAAAGGAGACTGTTGAGGTCACATCCCATACCTGAAAGTGATCTTATTCTACGCTCCAATCTGATTTTTACCTGAGTCTAGAATTTCCAACCTCCCAGTGGCCCCTGCCTGCTGAACCAAGAAGTCCTGCAGAACTGCTGAGAGAGGACTGTTTAAGCACTGGACATTATTTTGATCACACACACTTGCTGAAATACACTAATGATCCCTTCTGTATACACAGGTCAGTCTGAAACACTGAGAGGGTCTGGGTCCCTGTTTGCTATACCAGCCGGTGGCAGGTATGCCAGATAACCTGTGCTGAAGTCCCCACACTTGCACTCACCGTGAACTTACAAGCCGATGGCCAGGTTCAGAGCCCACAGGAAAGACAGACAAGATGGAGGGAGCTTTGGCTATCTCGCCATTGTTGGAAGAGGCAACTGAGAACAGGTGGGGATCCACCTCGCAGAAGGCTGGAGCACCTGCAGGGAAGCAGATGCCTGAGGGCCCCAAAAGGCCACCAGGGAATGAAAAGTCCTGGTCAGATTTGGAGTGGCTGGCAGGGGCATGACGACAGGGATATCGCTGGCGCGGGGAGGGAGGCGCTGCAGATGGTGCAGGCCAAGGAGCTTAGCTTACAGGATTTAGATTTGAGGATGACAAGGCCAAAGTGTGGGTGCATGGAGGGGTTGTACTGAACATTAAACCCCCAGCTCAGCAAAGGCCGGCAGTGAAAGAGGACTGCGGTCACTGCCTGCAACCCGTCTTCCTCCCTGCAAAGGGCATGCTCGCAGATAAGCAGACCCACATGAAACCTGAGCGCCCAGAGTCGCCATAACCCAGAGGTTGATGAAAGCGCCCGCAGAGACATGGTGCAGGGCGGGTCTCAGGGAGCGCGGGTTCTGGACAAAGTCCAGTTCTACAAGCAGGTGTGGGAGGCAAGCCCGTTCTCAAAGTAAGTTCTGCAGGTGCTGTAAATAGGTTCTGGAACCAGGCTGTTTGGAAGCGGGTCATGGAAGACGAGACCCGCGGACAGGCGCCCTGGCACAGCCCCCGCTCTGCCCCGCAGGGAAGAAAGCAGGCATTGTTTAAGAACTCCCACAGCACTACTCTCTAACCTTTTAAAAACCCCATTGTAAACAAGGGGAATGTCCCGCTGCCAGGGTAACGGAATAAAGCCCCCGAGTCCCGGCAGAGTTGTGACTACGCCCGCCCGGGTCTCCGCCCCTCTTCTAAATTCTCTTAACTAACTTACCCTCCAGTCTAGCTGTAGCCGGCGCACATGCGCACAGCGCTCAGCGCCTGGGCCGCAGTTGCCAGGGGTTACTGGACCCTCAACACCCCGGGGAGGGCGGGGATACCGCCTGGAGCACGCCTTCTTTGAGCTCTAATTGGTACATATTGCTGTCCGTCGAGCCAGCTACCACCGCCGATTGGACATCAGTTTTTCAGCGGGGACCCACCGCCCAACAGCACCGGGCTGCTGCTAGCCGCTAGAAGCTCTTAGCCTGCGACCAGTGCGGACAGAGGAGGAGCTGCGGATACGGTCGCGAGCTGCCCACCCGGGCGTCCTGGGGACTTCATTCACGCAGCGTCGCGGGGGTGGCTTTTAGGAGGCCGATGATGATCCTCGAGGAGAGGCCAGACGCCCAGGACGACGGCGAGGACAACGCGCGGCTGCAGGCGGCTGGCAGCGTCCTCCAGGTGGGTTGCCGGGGAGGGTTGCAGGCCCCGGCCTCCTGCCCTGTGGTCGGAGGTGCGTCCCGGCGCGCGGGCCTTTCTGGCCGCGCCCTCCCTTGCCCTACTCGACCCTGCACTGGGGAAAACTGAGGCTCCAAGGGGACTCCAAAGCCTGTGTCCCTTCTCCAGGCTTCTCTCTGTCCCTTTTAGGGGTCCAAAGCGGGGAGGAGAGGAAACTTCCAGGAGTTTGTGGGAGCCGAGGTCTGGGTTGACATTTCCCTGAACCCCGGCACCAAGTGTGGGTTCTGGGCAGTGACAGCTTCTCCACCTAAGCTTGTGTTTGTTTCTGGCACCTGTAAAGCTTCCTTCCTAGTTTTGCCCTGCGTACCTGCTCCAGGGTGTCCGTTTGATGTAGCTTTACCAGCAGGTAGCTTGAGCCTCCGAGACATCCTCTCTGGGCAGTTTGTCTATGTGACACTTTCCTCAGCTTCTACCCCCTCCGAAGTCCCTAACCCCGGGCTTGATTGTTACCTGTTTTCCAGGAGCACTAGGGAAGTGAAGGTGCATGGGAGACACATTCTGTTTCGTCTGTGCCTGGAAAGGCCTTCTCTGCAGCCCAGGCCTGGGTGTTGGGGGTCAGTGAGAGGTGCCCCAGCGTTGGTCCCACACACACAAGGGCTGCTAGGCAGAAAGACTCCTGTTGCTAGTCCCAGGCATCTGCCATGGCACTGCCCTCTTTTCTTCTAGGTGTCAGACTACACATTGTACCTCACTGCTTCCATTCACCTTTTGCATACCTGGGGTGCAGGCCTGGGGAGGGAAGAGAGAGGCATCACTTGGGCTGCCCAGGCCTGTGATGCAGGCCAGACCCTCAAAGAACTTTTCCCTGCCCGCCTCCCAGCATGCCAGATGGCGTAGCAATTAGACACTGGAGAGAGGGAAGCGACCTGTCCCCTGCCCTCCCTCACAGGGTGGCCATGCCTGAAGGTGGCCTTTGGAGTGAATACATGTTGCCTTGGGTAGAAAGAATGTTTGGGGGGTTGCACAAACAAGATGCACCAGAAGTCTCAGAGGGCCGACTCTTCATGCCGTGGGCTGTGACCAGACTCTTTCTTTGCCGTCTCTTGGCTGCATCTCCTATGGTCATTCTGGAGCGCTGCGTCTGTCTGCACACACTGTCCTGGCGTGACCAGAAGCAGTCAGGGTACTAGGGAGACCTGCGGGAGGCTTCCTTGGGGCCCCAGCCCTGCTCAGGCTTATCCTAAGTCATACCACATAGCCTGGCTGGCCCTACACCTGGAAGGTCTTCCCTGATACCCACTGCTTGGCTGTAGCAAAACCATACTCCCCAGTAGGCATTCAAAGCAGTGATTTTGCTTAGAATTGGGTGGGACAGGACTAGCTAGCTGTTTATGTAAAGGCCACCGCTGGGTCTGCAGCCCCAGTGCACAGGTCTGTGTGACTAGGGTACACCGCAGCAGGAGGGGGCAGGCTGGCATTCAGTGAGTGCCTGGCCCTTGCCCTCCACTTTAGAGCCTACTGAGCAGTGGTGCACCTTAGTGTTCACTGTCTGCCCGGCATGCCATGCGAGCACCTTGCTGGCCTTGGGCTTCTGTTTATCTATCTGAAGAATTGGTTGATGAAGTGGCCCAAAGTTGCTCACCAGGGACATGAAGGGGCCTAGTGATAACATCAAGTTAGTTGACCTCACTAATGCCCTCCCCCAAGGGTTGCAGTATTTCAGAAGCCCCAGCCTTGGGCATTGGCCGGTTGGGAGGACCCCAGCCAGCCCAGGTTATGGGGAAGTACAACCTTGGCCGAGTCCCTCCATTTCCCAAGGAGGTCAAGAGGCCAAGGGGTCAGGGAAGGCCAGGGGCAGAGCAGCAGAGAGGGAAGTGCGGTACTTCTCATCTGCTGTCCAGTACTGCCAGCAGGTCTGCTCAAGGGTCCCCTGCCTGGAGGGACACCAGCATGCTCTGAGTCAGTGATGGTGAACCTTGTAGAGCTTCCAGTGATAACGAACAGCCTTCTACGGTATACATGCTATAGGTTCGCCACCACTGCACTGGGTGCTTGTTACAAACCCACTGGGCCTGGCCCAGGTGTCCAAGTAAACGTAAAAGGAAGCAGGACCTGAGGACACCCTCCCTAACCTGTGACTAGAGTGCGTACCCACTCTGTGGTCCAACTGGCGTGTATGTGGCTTGTAGTCTCTGTGTTCTGGGAGACTCCTTGCAACAATGCCTGTTAGACCCCATTCCCCAAACACTGCTTAGGGGACAGAGGCAGCTGGTGGGTGCTGAGCTTCCACCCTTGTGGGGCCTCCAGGTCCTCTGTGTTCAAGTAAAACCACGGAGGGTAAGAGTCAGGGCTCCCTGAGATAGGTGGGCATTGGCAGGCAGGGTACGCAAGGCCTGGCAGGGGAGGGGCAAGCTTGTCTGTCAGGGTGGGGCCCTCTCTCAGAGAGCTTCCTCAGATGGAGGGAATTGGGAGGCATAGGGATGCCCTGCTCTGTTTTGCTGTTCCCAGGCCTATTGTAGGGTAACTGTCCCCTCGCTTTTCTTAGTCCCAGGGACAGTTCTGGCCACTGCCCTACACCAGGTCCCTGGGTCTGTGGGTGGGGGTGGGAGGTGTTTGTTTTCCTTTTCCCCCATCCCCTTCCGTCCAGGTTGTGGCCAAGTCCCGCCCCTGGGTGGTACACCTTTGTTGCACACCAGAGACCATAACAGGTTCAGTGTTTCCAATAGAGCGAGACAAAAATAGTTACAGTGCAGTTGATAGCACGACGGGGGGCTAGGTAGCCTTTGTTTCCAGAGGGTAGGAGGTTGTCCCAGGAGTGGGTTGGTTCCCCATCATCCATATCTGTCCCCAATGGGCACGTCCCTCTGCCCAGAATGGAAAACTGGGCGTGGGCCACCAGCTTCTGGAGTCTAACCACCCCCACAGGTCCGGCTCTGGCTTGCTTGTCTCACATAGGTTAGGAGGTTACTGGAACACTAAGGATAGGGAGGGCCCAGGGGCTCCTAGTGGCCTTGGCAGTAGCTGCTGACCAGAACCCAAAGTGGGCCTTTGGAAGGAAGGAGTGTTAGGGGCTGGGGATTTAGCTCAGCAGCACAGCACTGCCTGGCAAGCGCAAGGTCGTGAGTTCGATTCCTGGTACAGGAAGAAAAACAAACAAAAAAAAAAGAAGGAAGGAGTATTTAGCTTCTGGTGGTGGACCTCCTCCCTCCCGAGACCCTCAGCCCCGTGGAGGGGAGACTGTGTGGCCTCATCTTGTCTCTTCTGTGCGGGCAGACATGAGGTGCTGTGGGAGAGCAGCGCAGGCCCTGGAGGATAGCTGCTGGGGCAGCCAAGGAGGCAAGGCTGGGGCCTGCTCTGCCCTTCCTCCATCAGTGGGCCCAGATCCCAACAGGAGGCACCCCACCCCACTGCTTTTCCACCCCTGTTTGTCCAGGGTGAGTCCCCTCTCCCTGGTTCTCAGGAACCAGCTGAAGGCTCCTGCCTTCGCATCCCAATCCTTGTGCCTCCTCCTATAGAAAGTCTTTATTGATTGATCTGCCCTTCTTGGAAAGCCAACCTGGGGAAGGGGATCTGGAGCCCTAATTAAAGTGGCCAAAGGCCGGGGCTGGGGATTTAGCTCGGCGGCACAGCACCTGCCTGGCAAGCGCAAGGTCGTGAGTTCGGTTCCTGGTACCAGAAAAAAAAACAAAAAACAGAAAGATGGCCAAAGGCTCAGGAGCCTCCTCTAACAGGTGTAAGGCCCTCCTCAGAGTGCAGTGAGGGGCTGGGACAAACAACAGCCCCTGAGCTGAGACTGTAAGCCCCGCTACAGCACTGCACAGATTAAGCCCTCTGACCACGCCATCAGGAAAGTGACCTTCGAGGCATTGTCTGAGGCTGGTAACTGCCTGTGAGGACACTGCACAGGAAAGGAACCTTCTAGAAGTCCTCCTTGACATCGCCTGGGCTAGTGAGTGACCCAGACCTGGTGAGGCCCTCCGTGGTTTCAGGGGGAGGCTCGGTGACCTCAGGCTGCGCTGGGCCCTGCACCTTCCCTGTCTGGATTGCTGGGACAAAGCCTCAGGTTGTAACTGTGCCCATGGCTGAGGCTGGAGGGCAGGAATAACTCAGATCACCTCCCTCGGGTTAGCCAGGAGGACCCTGGATTCAGCACCTTCCTCTCTACCTCACAGGGCTATGTGCCTGCTGCCCAAGCCGTGCAGCCCACAGCCTGTAGTTGCCCGGTGGCCGTGCTGCCTGGTGCCTGTGACCACTCTACCCCACAAACCCTTGTGGATAGAGCCCTGGAGCCAAGCCCGCCCAGGCTTCCCTGCTGTGGAACCAAGCTCTTGTTGATGTCCCTCACCCTGGACTTTAGTGATAGGCTTCTTGCGTGAGTGGGCTGCAGTCCCCAGAGAGTGAAGCTTACTTAGAGCGGGCTTCTCTGTCGAGGTTCACACCCTGCCTTGAAAGATGGGCCCCGGGACAGGCTCATTTTGGTGGAAAAGTACTTGCCACGCATTCTTCAGGCCTGGGGATGTATCCCCAGCACCATAAATAAAAATTCATCATCACCCATGTTTTAAGAGCCAGTTGCTGTGGTGTGTATGGAATACCAGCTACTTGGGAGGCTGAGGCAGGAGGACTGCTTGGTGCACTATGAGGGTGCTTGGTGAGAGGAAGATGGACTGTGCAGGTTGACATGTGGGCTGGGATGGAGCTCAGTCTGTGACATCTGTGAAGTGTTGAGAGGAGAGTCCCTGTGCTGGCGAGGCCCCCATGTCCCTAGCCAGGCCCACCTCATAGGCTCTAGCCCCTTTCCCTTAGGGCAGCCTGGTCAGGCCTCAGGAGTGGGTATGATGATCTCCTGTGGCATTCCTGCAGGGCTGTGACCCCCTGGCACAGACTCAGCACAGCTGGCTCCAGAGCCAAAGAACCCGGATCTACCAGCAGATCAGCAAGGAGCTGCGGATGCGGACAGGTGCGGAGAACCTCTACAGGTGAGCATTTGAGCCCCCAAGCCCTGGGGGTGGGCATGGCCCATGAGAATGGTAGGACCAAGCTGGTAAACCAGGCAGGCATCTGCTGGTGCTTGGTCTAGAAGGCCTGTCTTAGTTACTTTTCTCATTGCTGAGACACAACATCCAATGCTGCAAGTTAAAGGAGGAAAGGTTTATTTAACTCATAGCTTATAGAGGTTTCAGTCCATAATCTGCTGGCTCCAAAGCAGGGTGGCTTATGGCAGAGGGGCAACCATTCATGGTGGCAGAAGATAGCAAAAGCAGTGAGAGAGGGAGAGGGAAAAGGCACACATCTCTCTCTGTCCCTATTTTGTACATAGGCTCCTCACCCTAAGGCAGCCGTAGCACTCACACCTTTAATCCCAGCACTGGACCATGAATCAATCACAAACTATAGATTCAGCCACCTCTGAAAAGTGCTCCCGCCCCCCCGCCGTGACTACATGAGGCTTTGGGGGAACAGACTATAACAAGGGCGCATGAAGAGGTAGCCTGCTTGGTGCATGCCTGTAATCCCAGCACTCGGGAGGCTGAGGCAGGAGGATCGTTGGTAGTTCGAGGCCAGCCTGGGCTACAAAGTGAGTTCAAGGTCAGCCTGAACTGCATAGCGAGACCCTGTCTCAAAAAGAAAAAAAAAAAAAAAGATGTAGCCTTCCACCCAGGCAGGTCCCACCCAGGTCCTGACGGTCATGCAGTATATTTATCATTCAGCGGAGACTGTGAGACAAACCAAGCTCTGCCCAAGGATCCAAAACTGGAATTCTCTCCGGGAGGCTTGAGCAGTGCATGAGGTGACAGTGTGGCACATGATCAGGCATCCCAAGGCTAGGGAATTGGGGAAGAGTCCTCTGGCTCAGGACCAGCCTCTTTCTTAGAGCACACTGACCATGACAGCCACTCTCCTGAGCAATCTCTGCCTCCAGCCCACTGTCAAGAACCCCCTGGTCCCTCTGTAAGACTCAGAGGAGGAGCTGGCTGCCCCTTATCCAGCAAAGTGTCTGGGAGTTGCCCTGGAGGGCATGTGAGCCAAGGGTAGCCCACGCAGCCACTCTGCATGAGGCAGTGAACTGTAGGGGAAGGACGCAGAAGCGGGAATGGCCCACAGCCTGCCATACACACTCCACAGCACCATCCTCTGGAGGGCGGGCTCTGGAGCGCTGCAGGGCAGGAGGGTCTCAGTGCACCTGGGTCATGAGATCTGCTGTGGACCAGGACTTCTGACCAGCTGTGACCTTCCCCAGAGCAACCAGCAACAACCAGGTCCGAGAGACGGTGGCCCTGGAGCTGAGCTATGTCAACTCCAACCTACAGCTGCTGAAGGAGGAGCTGGAGGGGCTCAGCAGCGTGTTAGACATGGAGCAGCCCAAGGGGTGAGTATGTGAGCGGGGGTGCACGCGTGTGAGGGCTGGGGGAAGCATCCTGGGTCTGGGTCACGGGAGGGCAGGGAGTGGACTCCGCCACTGTGGGAGCACGTCCAGAGCCAATGTTTCTCGTTCTAGTGAAGGTGTCACTGTCCCCATGATCCCCCTGGGGCTGAAAGAGACCAAGGAGCTGGACTGGGCCACATCCTTGAAGGTACACACTGGCCTGTGAGCACTGAGGGACACTGCCCTCCCCTGCGCTTCCCCGGGGCCTGAGGAGAGTTTGGAGGCTTCCTGGTGAGCCAGTCCATTGAACAGAAGAGGAAGCTGAGGCCCGGAGGGAGGAAGGGATGACCCAGGGCTGCCCAGAGACATGGCAGAAGTGGCCAGGGACCAGGTGTCCTGCCCTGGGCAAGCCTCCTTCCTCCTGCTACACTCAGTTCCCACACCCTGGGCTGTGGATCTGTGGGTGGGTTTGGATTTGGACCCTTCCCTAGGATAGGTGTGACAGGACCTGGACATCCTTCTGGAAGCCCCAGGACAACTGCAGGGATCTGGGCACTCCTGCTGAGGGTCCTCCTGGCTCAGGGACACCTGTTTGGAGCCTGTGCTGTGAAAGCTACAGCCTTCCAAGTATACTGGGAGGGCTCAGACCCCAGACAGGGCCATGTCCTGTCTGCCACTGCCTCGCAGAGTCTCGTGGAAGGGAACTTGACCTTGTACCTCAGTGTCTGAGTCTCCAGGTGACAGGTGGCACCTGCCTCTTGGGGCTGTCCTGGGATTAATAAAGGAATGTGTGTAAAGATAGCACCAGCATGAATCCTGGCCCTGGTTCTGTAGGGGTAGGGAGCCCAGAGCCAAGAGGCAGACCCACCCCAACACCTGTCCCAATGTCACCAAACCCCTCCACACACCCAGGCCCTCAGCGCTTCCATCCTTGCTGGGGCAACCAGCTTGCTCCGCGCCTGGACCTTTCCTCCCCAGGGCAAACTGCCAGGCACTGGGTGCCCCAGAGGCCAGCACAGTTCTTCTGCAGGAGCTGATCTCAGGGCACTTTGGAGAGGATGGTGCTACCTATGAGGCAGAGATCATGGAGCTGGAGAGCTTACGGCAGGTAGGTGGGCTGCTCCCAGCCCCACTCTGCCCTTCTGTAGCCCCGGATGGAGATGAGGAAACCAAGGCTTGGATGGTGAAGCTCAGGGTAGATGATTACCTGGTAGGAGTCCCGACCTCAGGGAGACTGCCACACCAGTGTGCATGGAGGGGCCTGGGCCCCACTGGGGGTTCTTTGCTGGCCACGCCTCGTGCCTCTCACCCCACGTACCCTCACCTTGTGCCCTGAAGCCCAGGATGGCATCTGCTTCCACAATGCTCATACCCAGGGGATCCCAGGTGGTGTGTGTGAGTGAGGGGTCTGGGCGGTGGGGCCCAGCCATTCCTGCCCCACAGGCCATGCGGACCCCCAGCCGGGACGAAGCAGGCCTGCAGCTGCTCGAGGCCTACTACAGTCAGCTCTGCTTCCTGGACATGCGCTTCTTCAGCTCTGCTCGGAGCCCTGCCCTGCTCTTCCAGTGGTAGGGGCTGGGGTGGGGGTTCCCTGGGGGCAGGAGGCCTAGGTTCCAGAGAACTGCTCCCAGCCTGATCCCCTCACAGGTACGACTCGCTCACGGGGGTCCCAGCACAGCAGCGCGCCCTGGCCTTTGAGAAGGGCAGCGTGCTGTTCAACATCGGCGCTCTGCACACACAGATCGGGGCGTGTCAGGACCGCTCCCGCCCAGAGGGTGCCCACCACGCCGCCCAGGCCTTCCAAAGGGCTGCTGGTGAGAGCCGCCCGCATCCACACTGGGGCCACCTCTCCTTTCCTGGGGTACAGCTGGGGCAGGCAGCTTGGCCCCCAGCATGAGGAGCTTGGCACACATAGGCCCTTCACATGGGGTCCCTGGGGTGGCCCTGGGTGGCATGGGGAGGCGCTGCCACTGTGAGCACCCACTTTGTCCACAGGAGCCTTCAGCCTCTTGAGGAAGAACTTCTCCCACGCCCCGAGCCCAGACATGAGTGCTGCCTCGCTCTCCACACTGGAGCAGCTCATGGCTGCCCAGGCCCAGGAGTGCATCTTTGAGGGCCTCTCACTGCCAGCCCATGCCACTCCCCACCACTGCCTGGCCCAGGAGGCTGCCCAGGTGAGGCCAGGGAGCCCTGCCCAAAACCCTCAGCAGCCTGGCTGCTCTGTCGTCACGTGTGGGCCCAGAGTAAGGGGTCAGCAGGATACGGGCAGAGCTCAGTCCGGGAGCCGGATCATACCTGTGTTCTGTGTTGATCCTCAAAGCCAGCAGCTGTCCTGGTTCCTAGGGTCCTGAGTCCCTGCCCTGGGGAGGCAGCGCAGTCAGAGTAGAAGTTTAGGTCCCTGGGCACCGGGGTCAGCCTCAGTTTGGAGCACAGGAACTTGGTTTAGGGTAGATAGAGGCTGGGTCCAGGGTGTGAGCAGGCAAGGGCTCCTCAGGGAAGGCGAGAGGTGCCAGTGTGACCACATGCCTGCTGGCAGGTGGCAGCTGAGTACAGGCTTGTGCACCGGGCCATGGCCCAGCCTCCTGTTCAAGACTATGTGCCCCCATCCTGGACCACCCTGGTGCACGTCAAGACCGAGCACTTCCACGCGTTGGCCCACTACCACGCTGCGGTGGCCCTCTGTGACAGCTCCCGTGAGTGCCCCCCTCCCGTGTGCCTGTGGTGTGGACTGAGGGCCTGTGCTCGGCACTCACAGCCTCTCTGACCTGCAGCTGCAGCAGAAGACAAGCTTCCCACGCCTGAGCAGGTCTTGCAGCCCCCGCACTCCCCTGAGCCGCAAGGTCCTCCACTGCCGCAGCAGCCAGAGGAGCGCAGGAAGCTCGGTGAGGCGTTGCAAGGGGAGGGTCCCGGGGGCCCCCATTGTCACTTGGCTTCTGATATCTCTGTAGTACCTGGGCCGGTGGGGGCACACTGGTGGCAGCTCTTACCTGGCCAAGCCCTCCTGGTCTGGCCAGCTTCCCAGCTGCCCCTGTGGCCCATACCCAGCATTGGCTGCACCCCAGGGGGCGGGGCCTGGGACTGGCTTTGTGTGATGGCACTGTGCCCTGTGTATAGCCAAGGCCCACCTGAAACGCGCCATATTGGGCCAGGAAGAGGCGCTGCGGCTACATGCTTCGTGCCGCGTCCTGCGCACAGTGGACCTGCTACAGGCCGTCGTGGCCCAGGCCCTGCGACATTCACTGGCCAAGTACTCGGAGCTTGAACGTGAGGATGACTTCTTTGAGGCTGCCGAAGCCCCCGACATCCAGCGTGAGCAGCCAGGGCCCAGCAGGGTGGGTATACCCCCAGGGTGAGGCCTCAGTCCTGGCCGAGAGAGGTGGGCCGAACCCCTGCAGCCAGTTAAAGGTGCAGTTGCCAGTCAGGTACAGTGGTGCATGCCTGTGATCCCAGCAACTCAGCAGGCTGAGGCAAGAAGATTATAAGTTTGAGGCCAGCCTGGGCAATTTTATGAGACTATGTCTCAAAAATTTTTAAAACTAAGTTTGGGGTATAGCTCAATACCTGAGGCCCTAGGTTAGATTCCCAGTACCAGGAAAAAGATAAAGTAACCAAGGCCATGTCCCTCCAGCCTCAGGAGGACCTGGGAGAGGGTGGGAGCTCCAGCCAGGCTGGGCAGTGTGCCTGCCAGAGACGCTGTGCTTTTCTCCCCTGCTTGGCTCCTGCTCTGGGGAGGCCCACAGACAGGGAGGGCCTGGGACAGCAAGGCAAGAGGCCAGCGGTCCCAGGAAGCGCCAGTGAGCACTGGGGTCCCACCTCCTCCCCTGGGACAGAACTCAAGGGTCTGGGGGTCCATGAGTCCTGGGCTTACTGTGTTCCTCCTTTTCCTCCCACCCTGTCAGCTAAGACCCACCAGAAGCTAGCAGTCAGGCCGTCTAGCCTGTCACAGATGAAAGTGGCTGACATCTTCCACCGGCTGGTGAGCACGCAGCTTGCACCACCCCTCCCTGCGTAGCCAGGCAGTGCTCCCACCTCGGGAGTCTGGACAAGGCCCCCAGTGTTCTTGGGTGGTGGCAAGAACACCTGTCCCTCTCCCCTGGCACCCACTTCATTAGTTCTTATCCTGAGGTGTCCAGGTGGAAGTGGGGTGCTCAGAGCCCTCAGACTGCACCCCAGCCAGGTTCTGACCCCTCCTCTTCCAGGGGCCCCTGTCTGTATTTTCAACCAAGAACCAGTGGCAGTTGGTGGGACCCGTCCACGTGACCCGAGGAGAGGGTGGCTTCGGCTTCACGCTCCAGGGAGACTCACCGGTCCTCATCGCTGCTGTGGTTCCCGGGGGCCAGGCTGCGGTAAGGGCCCCTGGGCCTGAGGCCGAGCCCCGGGCTGCAGCCTTGCATGCTGTCCTGCTGCCTCACTGGTCTGTGTTCCCTGTAGGCAGCTGGCCTGAAGGAAGGGGACTACATCGTGTCAGTGAATGGGCAGCCGTGCAAGTGGTGGAAGCACGCAGAGGTCGTGGCGCAGCTGAGGGCTGTGGGGGAGGCAGGCGTGAGCCTGCAGGTGGTGTCCCTGCTGCCCAGTCCCGAGCCACGTGGCACGGTGAGCCCCTCAGGGCCCCTAACTCCTCGTTGCATCCAAGCCCCGGTCCTTCACTTAGGCACTCCCGAGGCCTCCAAGGGAGGAGCCTGCAGGTTGAGGGCCTTCACTGTGCCCAAGGAAGCTCTTGTCCACCTCAGTGGGACTCTGTCCCTGAACTTGAGGTTTCCAGAGCTCAGTCACCCACAGCAAGCCTGCCACCTCCAAGACAGCTTTGCCTCTCCCAGCTTGACCATTACGGGAGCAGGCCTTGGAGCTGACCATGACCATCTCTGTCCTGGCTGCAGGGAGACCGCCGGCCGGGTCTGCTGGGCCCAGGGGGACTTCTGAAGAGCCAGAGAAAGTGTGGTTTTGAGACACCAGCCCCCATGCACGCCAGCCCCTTGCCCCTCCTTGGCTGGAGCCGCAAGGCCAAGTGGTACAAGACAGGGGGCCGTCTCCAACCCGGCCCTGGTGGGGACTCTGGCACCTGCCCCTGAAGCAGGTGTGCCCTGTGCCCTCCAAGCACCCCGGGGGCCATGAGGGCCAGTGCTTACATGGTTCCAGTGGCCAGGAGTGGCCTGTGCATTCTGTCCCGCACTTTGGATAACCTTCAGGCTACGCCTGCTCTGCTCAAGGTGCCCATTAAAGACTATGGTCAGGCAAGGTGGGTGTGAGCCCAGTGCTGGGGATGGTGGCATTTCACCCATACCGGAAGTACCCCAGTGCCCTCTGGGTGTAGTGCTCAGGCCACCTCTCTGGAAGGTGCTGCCCCCTACACCCGGCCCCTTAACGCCCCTCCCATGCTGTGCGCCACCCACACCCTGCCTCAGGGCCCACTCTGCAAAGGCTGAGCTGCTTGGTGGATGGTGCTCCTGCCAAGCTCCCCTCAACCCTGGCTGGACCCAGCTCACCTCCCTGCTGGCCAGCCCCATGCACAGGGTCCCAGCCAAGGCCTGCCCCATGCAATGTTTTATTTTACCCTCCCTGTTCTTGCCCAAGAGACCCCAGTGTTGAGGTCCTGCGTCTCCTGCACCTGCGGTGCTGCCATACGCATGACCCCAAGGCCGTCGGCAAAAGCACTGTCCCCAGGAGCCCCAAAGAGAGCAAAGAGAAGGGCTTCCTTGGAGGGAGTCCTGAGCTGCACAGAGTGGGACCCACAGGAGGGCCTCTTCTTGGGCTGAGGATGGAGACTGTGCTGACCAGGTATTGTCCCTCTGGCCACCAGGGGGCAGTCACTGCCCACTCATGCGACCATAGGAAGCCTGCGATCTTCCACCAGTCCTGGATCTGGGGAACAGACTCAGGAAAGTAGGGCAGACCCCTCCCTAGTCAGAGACCCCCCTCTTTTATCCAGTCCTTGCACAGGGCTCCCCACCCAGTTAGGCGCAGCCAGCTCTGTGCCCTGGCTCTGGTTCCGTGGTCCAGGCCCTACTGTCCGTTATCCCCTGCCCACTTCGGCATTGACGTCAGGGTCCCAGGGGAGTGAAAGAGTCGGGTGAGAGTGTGTGGGGAAGTGCAGAGGTGAGTGTGGGGTGGGGTGAGAGTGTGAGGTGAGGCGGGACGGGTGAGGAGGGAAGGCCCACAAGTCAGAACCCAGCCACGGCCACGGGTTCCATGCAGCGGGAGGGAAGGGCCCACCAGCCCGAGCCTGGGAATGAGGCTCCAGGTGTACCAGCCTCCCGTGGGCCTCCTGGGAGAATCCCCAGCTCAGCAGATTGGGCCAAGGTCAGGCAGGTCTCCTCGGTGCTTATTAATTTGATGAATAAAACTGTGCATCAAGGAGGCCATTACGTGATAATCAGGCATGACAGGGTTGGTGGGCCCTGTCTGGGAGGGGGGCTTTGCACTCCCACCTCTTGCAGCTTGTCCACACCCGAGGAAGGGACAGCAGCCTAGGAGGACATGAAGTCTGCCTCCTGCATGAGCACACCCTTCCTTCCCACCTGCCAGCCTCTGGCCTCTTACCAAGCCTGGGCCTTCGCTCCTGGGCCCCTGGAGGCTGTGCCTCCCACCTCTTAGGACACCTGTCCCCACTTCAAATGCCTCATGACCTCCAGGTTCCCCGTGTGGCTGCCTCTGCTATCAGGCATTTACCAAGGAGCCTCCCAGGTCAGCAGCTCCCTCGCCTCAGTTGCACGCCTGTGCAGAGGCTGTCGCTGAGACCCAGCTATGGGAGGAAGAGGCTCCCAGGTGGGGGCGCTGGGTGAAGAGTTCCTACCCAGGCAGGGCTGGCCCAGGAGGGTGGCACCCTCACCCTCTGCCTGTCCTGGGGCTGATCACTCTTCAAACAGCAATGAACTTCTCCAGACAAACTCCCAGACCATGGGCTCTGGGAGGCACTGACCCTATCCTTGCCCCTGGGCAAACAGGGATGGAACACCCTGCCCAGACTCCCAAACATCTTCAGTCCATCCAGAAGCCTGGATCCGCAGTGCTGGAGTTGCCAACCAGCTCCAGGAGGCCTCAGGGACAGGTCAAGGACATAGTGCTGGCCCAGCAGAACTTGCGGTTTCATCCTAGCAACCAGGCCCAAGCTGGTCTCTGTTCACAGTCCTGTGGGTGTCAGCCCAGCCCTGTGCCACACAGGAGCCCCTGGAGTCCCACTGTGTGGGAGGCATCCCGGAGGGCGAGGGCGGGGCCGGGAGTGTGTGCAAGCCTATGCCGAGAAGCCTGTGCACCCTGATGGCCCCACAGTCCCTGCCCGCTCCTTCCTGCGCTTGTCTGGCCAAACCCCATATGCCAGGCTTCAGGTCCCACTTTTTGACCCCGCCTTGACCATTTGTCACTGTGGGCTGCAGATGGACCCATGGGCCCTGGACAAAGACCACACCTGCTCTTCCACAAGGGCCATAAATACCTGTGGGAGGTGCACACGCATGTGTGTGTCACCCCTGGGATGGGAGGGGCCGTGCCTAGCACCAGAGGTAGACACAGGAGGACAGGCACGCGGGTCGACCTGGCTGGGATGCGTCTGCACTGGCCGTATGCGCGCCCCCCCTGCGTGCCACGCCATGGAGGGGATGCTGGGTTTTCAGATCCCTCCCTGTGAGGGAGGTCGAGGTGAGTGTGCGCTGCGATCCTTTTTGCTTTGCCAACAGAAAACTGCCGAGAGGGGAAAAGGCAAACTCCGTTTAGCTTGGGTCAGCAGTGAGCAGGGGCAGAGATTAATGTGGGGAGAGGGAGCGCTTTGGAAGCGGCAGGGTGCTGGGGGTGGGGACAAGATGGGGATGGAATGGAGCGGGGATGCTGGGTGCGTCAAGGACAGGTGTGAGGGGTACTGGGCAGGGCTATCCCCTTCCCACTTCACTCATCTCCACCTGCTCCCACCAGCCCTCCACAGCCCTCTACCTAAGCTGCTGCTGGCCCAGGCCCTCGCATGTGCATGTTGGGACCTGAGGCTAGCCCAGCGCCCACCCCATTGTGCACCCACGTGCACTCATGCTGATTGAAGTGGGTCTTCTGTTTCACCTTCGTCATGTGGTCAGGGATTTGCAAGTTCATCTCGTACGCTGCTTATCCAGCTCCCACCGAGGGAAGTGAGCCCCCATGCAGTCGATCTCCAGCAAACTCCAGTAAGGAAGTGGAGTTGGGGTTGGTAGTCAGTATGTCTGTCCTGGTGGGGGACCTGGAGGCAGAGCTGGCACCTGGCAGGGCAGGGTGGGTGGCATGGAGCACTTGGAGGGCCCTGCAGAGAAGAGAGAGGAGGGGGCCCTCCCAGAGGTGGAAAACATCTGTCGGTCTGCACAGGTGCTGGGCAGAGCGAGGGTGAGGCTTGGGCTTTGCCTCAGTTTCCCAGTGGGAGGAGAGCAGGTGAAGGCGCAGTGCAGTCTGTGAATGAGGTGGCAGCTACGACCAGCCCGTCTGGCTCCAGGTTGTGGGAGAAGGAAACTCCAGGCCCCACTGGCCTGGCCACAAAGGTACCACCAGACCTCTGTGAATGACACTTCCAGCAGGGGGAGGAGTGGCCTGGGAGGAGTCCCCCATGTCACCTGCCCTGACAGCCACCTCTCCGGGGCCAGCCCCTCTTCAGGGTAGGGCAGCGAAATTCCTGGGGGTAAGGAGCCATGGCGCCTGTGGGTCCTTCTTCCCAGCTCAGCAGAGGACACAAACTAGGCCCACTCAAGGCTGTACTCAGGTCAAGAAAAGATCCTTCAGAGCTGAGTGTGGTGGTGCACACCTAATCCCAGCACTCAGGAGGCTGAGGCAGGAGGCTCGCTGCAAATTCAAATCCAGCCTGGGCTACACAGTTTAAGACCAGCCTAAACTACATAGCAGCATGCTATTTTAAAGACAGAGAAAGACGGAAAGACCCTTCCAGGCTGTTCTGCACCCCACAGGTCTTCCCTAGGTCTGAGGAGAGGAGGAGCAAAACTATGGCAGACCCCACACAAGAAGATGGGTGCTGCCTCTTTCACTGTGTTGTTCTGGAACAGGAGGACCAGTGTCAAGGGCAGCCCTGGCCCCTGGACCCCCACCCCTGAGCCTGTCCCCTGTCTCCTGTAGCTGTGGTAGCATGCTGAGCTCATAGGCCCCCCACGCTGCTTCCTCTGCTGAGAACCCCCATTACCCGCCCTAATCTTATGTCCCTGTCTCCAACCTCACTCCCCTCGTTTGCTCTCCTTCCCTCTACTTTCTTGCCCCTTCCCTTTAAATGATACAGGAGATCAGATCCAGAGGCACTCTACACTAAGCACTACATCCCCATCCCCTTATTATTATTTTAATTTTGTGATGCTGGGGATTGAGCCCAGGACCTCTTTCATGCTAGACCCCATTATTTTATTTTATTTTATTATTTTATTTTATTATTCCATACTGAGGATTGAACTCAATGCACTGCACTGAGCTATACTTCCAGCTCCCCTCCCCCCTCCCCCAGCTTTTTTTGGCCTTGAACTGACTGTAGTCCAGGCTGGCCTCAAACCCTCAGCAATCCTCCTGCCTCAGCCTCCAAGTGCTGGGATTACAGGCACATGCTACCACACCTGTCTCCCTTTTTTAAATTTCTGAGATAGGATCTCACTACGTTGCTGAGTTGCCCAGGTTGGCCTTGAATTTATGACCTTTCTGCCTCAACCTCTCAGAGTACTGGGATTATAGATGTATACCATCATGCCCTAATTAGGTCTTTGGGTTTTTTGTTTGTTCATTTGAGACAGGGTCTCACTATGTCATTCGGGCTGGCCTTGAACTCACCATGTAGCTCAGGTTGGCCTTGAACTCCTGATGACCCTCCTGCTTCACCCTCCCTTAGCTGGGATTACACTCTTGTGCCACCACGTCCAGCTATTTTTTATTTTGAGATGGGGATCTTGCTAAATTGCCCAGGATGGCCTTGAACTTGTGACCATATTGCCTCAGCCTCCCAGAAGGCTGGGATTATAGCCTTGCACCACTGCACCTGGTTTCACCTGCTATCCTATCTCCCTCCTCTTCCTGAGCATCCTCACCCTCCCACTGTCCCCCCACCAATAACTGGCATCAACTTCGCTAACCAACTACTTAGTCACCTCCACCCCCAGCATCACCCCTGTCAGCCTCACCTTCATCCTTGTTATCACCATTACCCCGTCAGCAGCATTACCCCATCACTGAGGGCCTGCTAAGGCCCAGGCCCAGGCCTGCACAGTGTAAGGGCTGTGACTACAGGGGGTGATAGTTTCAGTGGGGTCACCCCTAACTGAACCCGTTGGTCCTGGGATGCTACCTGGTGACCAGCAATGTCCAAGAAGCTTCTAGCTGCATCCTCTACAACTGCAGGAAATGTGAGTCTGGGGGTCACTTGAGACCTGGGGGAGGGTGGCAGGGTTGGAGCAGAGGGGAGAACAGACTGGCAACCCAGGAGAGAAGTCTAGGGACAATCTAGTGGTAGGCAGGGTGGACAGAGAAAAGGGGACTGGTGATTAGCTCCGTCCCCACCCAGGGCAGGCCTAACACCACCAAGGGCAGCAGAATAGGGCCCAGCAGCTCACTGGTCAGTGGCCCCAGCCCAGCCCAGGAAGGGGTGGGAGGAGTTGGGCAGGTCTTGGCTGAGAGCAGCCTCCCTGGGTCAGAGGTCTCTCCCAGCCCTTACCACCACTTTGGGGAGGGGATCTCTGCCCAGGGTTGTGCTGTCATTTGAGGAACCAATGGCCTGAAGCGGTCCTGGAACCAAGGCCTGACCCAGGGAAAAGGCCCACCGCAGCCTGGACCTGCTGGCTGCACTGAGCGCCCACCCCAGGGTGGCTGGGCTCCACGGCCATGCATAATGCAGTATTTACCTGGGGGAGGGGGTTGATTGGCAGCGCATGGTTCGCTCTCTCCTCCCCCGCAGCCCCCAGACAGAGCCAGACGTGCATTAAGGCGGGAGTGACTTATCGAGCTGTCAGGGGGAGCATTTTAAGACAGAATTATAGGGGAGAGGAAAAAGATTTTTACCAAATTAATGAAAAATCAATCTGGCCTCAAAAATCCATTAGCCTTCATAATGCGCCAGTTCCAGGCCGAGCCGCACAATCCAATACCAGCTGTTAAATACCACAGTGGCTCCCCCGCCGCCCACCATTCATTACACTCGGTGTTTACTTCTGAGGGTGATGACTGCCCCCAGCATCCAGCCTCAGCTGTCTAGGGCTCCCGTCCCCCTGAGCCCCCGGGAGGCCCCGGGCCTCGATCCTTGGCTGGGGAGTCAGTCAGTGTCCCCCGACACAGTCAGGCATGGATGGTCTGGGACCCGGTGAGGCCACAGGGTGTGAGCGTGTAGACCTCCTTGGCGGGCAGTGTAGATGCTCTGGGAGAGGCGCTCCTG